GGGCGGCGCGGCCCGACCCCCCGGCCAAGGAGGTCGCGGGCTCCGCCGCGCCGCCCGCCGCCCCCGCGCTCGGCTACGGGTATCACTTTGGCAACGGATACTATAGCTGCAGGATGTCCCACGGGGTTGGCATCCAGCAGAACGCCCTGAAGTCTCCCCCCCACGCCTCCATTGGCGGCTTCCCTGTGGAAAAGTACATGGACGTCTCCAGTTTGACCAGCACGAGTGTCCCCGCCAATGAAGTCTCCTCTCGGGCGAAGGAAGTGTCCTTTTACCAGGGCTACACAACCCCCTACCAGCACGTTCCGGGGTACATAGACATGGTCTCAACGTTTGGCTCTGGGGAACCGAGACACGAAACATACATATCCATGGAGGGCTATCAGTCCTGGACTCTGGCTAATGGCTGGAATAGTCAGGTTTACTGTGCCAAAGATCAGACACAGAGCTCCCACTTTTGGAAGTCGTCCTTTGCAGGTACGAGGGGCGGAGGAGCGGAGCGCCCCTGCGCCGACCCGCGCACGGCGGGGGCGGCCGGGTCCTCCGTGGCCCCCGCCGCCCCCGCGGAAACGTCGCTCCGCGCTGCGCGCCCGCGGGTCAGAGACCGCACAGGGCCCGAGTGCCGCCGCGCCGTAACGGGCTCCTTCCCCCGCGGTGCCGCCGGTTGTGTTTGCGCTTGCAGCTTGCAGGAGGACGGCGTGAAGGTCTGAGCTTGGCCCGACTGGGGCTCGGCCGGGAGCATGCAGAGACTGCGAGAGTGAGGGCACCCTGGCACCCAGCACATGCAGACACCCGGGGCAGAGGCACCAGGAGATTTCTCTGCGACCTGCTCTCGCCCCCGTCCCGCGTGCTCCCTAGACGTGCATGTCCCCAAAGTGATGACAGTCCGTCAAAGCTTTGCTGCTTTGCTAACGGGCACCTAATGCGGCGGTGTAAATAATAGCAAACCGTAAACATCCTGGCGTTATTTATTTGCCCATGTGAAGCAGGGCCCAACAAGTATCGGTTAAGCTTTAAACGCCTGTAATAAAATTCTAATTTTTCGCATAATGTCTTTTACACTAGGAGATGTTGCACTAAACCAGCCAGACATGTGTGTCTACCGGCGGGGGAGAAAGAAGCGAGTGCCATACACAAAACTGCAGCTTAAAGAACTCGAGAATGAATATGCCATTAACAAGTTCATTAACAAGGACAAGCGGCGAAGGATATCGGCAGCCACAAACCTGTCGGAGAGACAAGTTACCATTTGGTTTCAGAACAGGAGGGTGAAGGATAAGAAAATAGTCTCGAAACTGAAAGACAATGTTTCCTGATCTATTCGTTTGCGGACATATGACGGATATATAAACTCAATTTATGACCAGCTGAAGATTTTTGGAAAGACTTGAAAATATATTTAATTTTTTTTTCTCCTTCCAACGGTGTCAAAAATTGTGAATTGATTTTTTTTTCATGAAAGTCAGCGTTTTTCTTTCGGTCGAAAGGAGTGCTGGCAAACCTTGACTTAAAGTTCTGTTTCTTACTTTTTAAAAATAATAATAATAATTTCTGATTTTTTTCCACTCTAGGCCAGTATAAACGATTTTAAATATGTTGAGCAGTTACAGTTGTAATTTTCTTAAATGCTTAACTCTTTTGAGTTTTTTTTCATTGCCAAAAAGCGTCAGTTTTGATTTGGTATCGTAAACTTCAACACATGCCAGGTTAAAACAAAACAAAAACCCAGAAAACTCGAGAAAGCCGGATTCTGCACCCGTGGCAGCACCCAGCTCCTACCAAAAACCATGGAGCCCACCGGGATCCAGAGGGATTTGCAAAATGCAAAATGCGCGGAGGGGTAATGTTTGCAGCCGGATTTTTAAATCACCCCCCCCCCCCCCCCTTTTTTTTTTTTTTTTTTCTTTCTCCGAGAGAGGATGTCCCGACCCCAAGTCCGGATATTTTTCATTGCGTTTTATGCTGTGATTTCGGGTTTAGTTTTTCGGATTTTGTACTCCCTGGTGGTAAAAATCAATGCACCAACTAAGGGTAGAAAGGAACCTCTCTGGGAGCCTGCGCAGGGCTGCCTTGGGGGCAGCGGGCGGGACCGGCACCGGGTGACACCGGGAAAACCGGGAAGCACCGGGAGGACCGGGGCCAGCGGGCAGAGCCTCTCTGCAAACGCAGGGGCCAAATCCTATTGCACCTTGTACAAAACGGTGGGTGCGCGATACCCTGCTTCTCCGGGCAACTTTTCCTTTCTCCTCTCACGGCACTTAAAAAACTCCTCGCTGGAGAAGTTAAAGTTCACTGTTAACTTTTAAGTTGAAAAAAACGGGTGTTAATGAAAGAAGCAATAAATAATGAATTACAAAATATGCCGTAATATATGTAGGCCGAGAAGGCTGGGGTTGTGTTGATTTTTGTTATTTTAAACCTAGTGTGCATGTTGTGATATACACAGGGTGATCTGGATCAGACATGCTAGTCAACTACTAGGAGAGAGCAGCGAAATCCTGTTTGTTAATGTGCCTCGCCTAATTATGAAAATGTGTGTGTTCCCAACTAGTATTATTTATTATAATATCTTATTGCTCTAAACACTTTGACTACCAAAGTATGTGGATAAGACATACAGCAAGACTGTATTTTTTCCATAAACCACGTATTTTTCCTTTCTCGTCCTTACGTCTGCTTCTACTTTACGTTGTGCTGGAAATACGGGCTGAACCTCCGAGCTGTTAATGATGATGCCAAACTGTTCCTGAACCGCCTTTAATAAAACGATCTCTATATATGCATATAGAAATATATATTATATACGTGTAAAGAAGGATAAATTTGCCTTCTTTCTGCAGCAGGGACCTTGGTGGCTCCGCGGTGCGGAGATGCCCGCGGGTCTGCTCTCGGGGCGTGTTACTTTGAGGAGCAGAGGGGAGCGCGGTAGGAGAAAAGAGTGTCCGAGGTGCCCTTTGCTCGGGGACACGAGGTGCCCTTGGAGGGAAGGTTCCCCCATGAGACTAACGTGGCCCTCGAGGACCCAGGTTCGGCTCCGAGCTGCTCCGCGCGGTAACGTGGCCTCCGCGGAGCGGCCTGATCCGCCGGGGAGCGCGGGAGCATCCGCCGCCTCCTCCCGCGATCTTCCCCTTTTTCTTCCGCTTGGATATCCGCAGCTTGGGGAACGCGAATTCCCCCAGAATCATAAAAAAAAAAAAAAAAGTTCCTGGAACAAAAACGCAACCCCCCCCAAAAGGGTTTTTTTTTTTTTTTTTGGAAAAACAAGAGAGCTAAACGTAAGTACCTGGAAGAGCTCTCTCTGCTGATCTACCCTCGTTTTCACCGAATATTTTGAATTCTTCTATTCTCCCATTAGCGCCCCCGGCCAGACCCACTTTCCTGCAGCCTGGTGCTCCTAAGGCCGGGATCCTCGGCCTGCCGGCGCCTCTCCCGTCGGGACGGATCCCTGCCCCGGCTGCCGCTCCGGCGGGTTTCCCCCCTCCTTTTCCCCGGCTTAACCTTTGGCTTTGGCGGTGTCCGGGCTCGCAGAGGACACGGGCTTTGCCATGGCCAAAACTCCCATCCTAGCGCAGGATGAAACCCGAACTGGCTGGCAAATCGGGACCATATGGAGAGGAGTGGGCTTCTAATTTTCTAACAGGAGCGTTGGGAAAGCGGCAGGCACGACCAGAGAGGCAGCGAGTGCAAACGCTGTCTGCGGGAGAAAAAATCCTCTATTTGTGTCTTAAATCTGCTTTTGCCAGGGTATTTAGGGCATTTAGGAGCATTAAAAAAGGGGAGCGGGGCGCAGGGAACCGCTGGGAATCTGTGTGCCCGCTCCGCGCCCGCGCTG